CATCACATACATACAGTTCAATCGCCATGGAGCCAAAGTCCTTCCCATAGTCTTTTGTTACACAAATAGGCTCCATGGCATGGCTATCTGGGGTGATGCTGTTCATACGGTTAAACTACCGAATGAACAGTCAGTCGGTTCCACTACCGAATGCAGAGGTAAGGAGGCTGGCGGCTCAGCGGTGTTCGCGCAAATAAGTGTCCGTTTTCAGTTCCATAATTTTGGCGAAGAACACCGCTGGCCGTTCGGGAGGTAAAATGGCCGCTGCCACGTGTTCGGCAAACGAACAAAGGCCATCCTGAGATCTCCCCTGCCAGTCTCACTCCATAGGCGTGCCGCGGAGATTAGGGTGTGCCCAAGCACACCCGGCACACCCCATGCGCACGCCTATGCCCCCCAATAAAGCATCTTCACCTGTGTGCCTCTTAACACACCTTTTGTTTCTTATCCCCCTTTTTAAATGTCTTACACCCTTAAGTGTATCTTATGCCCTATTTTACCCTTGTGTATCTCTTTGTGTGTCTTACTCCCCCCAGCCCCTTTGTATGTCTCCTTCTCTTTCAGCCCCTTTGAGCCTTTTACTCTTTACAGCTATTCGGTGTGTTTCTCTTTCACCTACAGCCTGTCCATCTCCCCCACGGCCCCTCTATGTCTCTTTCATCCCTAGTCCCTCTGTGCGTCTTTCTCACCCCAGGCCCATCTGTGTATATTTCTTCCCCTCATGTCCATCTTTCTTCCCACTCAGGCCTGCCTGTGTGCCACTCTCCCCTCCATGTCCCTTAGTGTTCCTATCCCCTCCATGTCCCTTAGTAGTCCCCTGTCCCTTAGTGTTCCTCTCCCCTCCCTGTCCATTATTGGTCGTCTCCCCTTCACGTCCCTTAGTGTTCCTCTTCCCTCCCCTGTCCCTTAAGGTATGTTTTTCTGGCACTATAGAATTCTACAGTGCCCCCCTACCACACATCTGAAGGGGTTAAAACCCCTTTAGTCACTTACCTGAATGCAGCGTTGATGTCCCTCGGCGCTGGGTCAGGCTCCGCCCACACTCCTCCCTTGGCAACGTCAGCCAGGTGGGGAAGACCTAATGTGCATGCGCGGCAATGCCCGTGCTCGCATTGGTATCTCCTCATAGGAAACCATTATTCAATGGGGATCAATGGGGAAAAACTGATGCACAGCGTGAGGATGTCCAGCGTCAGATAGCGGACCAAAGTTCCGTTTGGGTTCGGAAGTCCCTCTAGTGACTGTCTGGTAGACAGCCACCAGTGGAGGAGTTAACCCTCAGTGTCCCTTTAGTGGTCCTCTCCCCTCCCCTGTCCCTTAGTGTTCTTCTCCCCCATTCCTTAATGTTTCTCTTCCCCTCTAACCTGTCTCTTAGTTCCCCCAACCCCCCTTACCTTTCTCTTAGTGCCCCCCCATCCTCCTTATTGTTCTTCTCCCCCTCTCTTCTAGAGGTCCCCCTCTCCTCCTTAGGGTTCTTTTTCCCTTCCTTGTCTCTTAGTGCCCCCACTGCCCTTAATGTTCCTCCCCCCTTAGTGTTCCTCTCCCCTCCCTTTCTTTTAGTGGTGTCCCACCCCCAGTGTTCCTTTATCCTTCCCTCCCCTTTCCCTCAGTGCCCCCTCTCCCTTAGTGTTCCTCTCTCACCCCCCCACCACCCTCCCCGCTGTGCCTCCTATTTCTCTTTGTACCGTGGCCACGCGGAGCGGACCGCGGTACAGGAGCTTCTGTTTCCTGTACCCGGCCGGACAGACAGGGAGTGCACTCTCAGTGAGCAAAACTGAATCTCCTGTATCGCCGTCCGCTCTGCTCAGCCACGCTACACTGAGTGACTGGCAGAAGGGAGCACTGTGCGCTTCCTTCCTGCCGGTCACTCTAATCTAGCGTCCCCCAGGGCGGTGCGCCTTATGGACGCACCGGCCCTGCCCCTGACAGTCACCTGGGGGGCACCACCCTCTCACTTGACGGAGGGGTTGGTGCCTGACAGGGTTACTATACATCTGATCTTTCATTTTGTAATAGGCGGCTGCTCTGAGATGCTCATGCCTGGGAAAATAAAAAAAAACAAAAAACAATAACATTGTCATGTCCCCTCCACCAACTGTAGAGATCTGGGGCTTTAGGGACCCACGCCATGGGCATCAGCCCCCAAAGCCCACCTCTGCAATGTCTATGCACTATGGATTTATTCACTAAACTCCCAATTGTAGCAAACTGAAAACTAATGGTAACATTTAAGCAATAACAACAAATTTGCAAATATTCTCCAACTCTATAAACACAGCCTGGCCATTTTGTCAGCCAGTTTCCAACAATTTGGAGTTTACTGATTTTATATGTGTTATGGTTATTGAGAAGTGAAACAAAAGTAATTAAAAACCACAGACCTGAAATGAATGGACTTTAGACCTTAGGATCTACCTTCCTGTTTACAATATATTTCTATATATGGGAACATAGGTAAGAAACATTTCATCAACTCCCCATGAACATACTAAATGTTACTGAATTGCAAATATATTCTGACAATTTCTATACATTCCAGAGTCTTGATGATACCATAATTAGGATAATATACCCTGGGTAATGTAAAAGAAAGATGCCATAAAAGATAATTATCTTCCTATAGAAGACAGCCTGCTACAAGTGCCAGGAAAGAGAAAAAGAGCTATTTCTGGACGACCTTCCATGGTCGAAATAGACACTGCAATGAAGCGAAAGAATTAAAAAGCTATTGTAAGAATAATGCCTGGATATAAAAACGTATCGCCTTGTACAAAGGACATTTGAGACAGAATTAAAATATCTCCTTTAGATCTAGCCACTTGTCATGACACATTTAACAATTGTTTTCTGATAAGAAATAAAATAAAATTGTCAACATTTTTCTATGATCAGATCATTTCCTAGCATCACTTGTCAAAGGACCAGTTCATCTCTCTGAAGTGGTCTGGGTGCAGTGGTCCTGTCATTTGAACTCTGCAATGTAAAACATTGACGTCTTGCCATTTTACCTGAAAGCCACTAGAGGCACTTCCGCAGGAACAATCGAGTAAAACTAGTTCATGGGATAAATGCAGCTCATAGGAAATCATTGAATTCAATGCCATACATGCACATCAGTCTCCAATGTTCCTCTACAAGGAGTGTTGGATCGGCCATTGATGAATGAGCGTGGGTGGCAAAATGCTTTGTTTTACATTTTTTTTACAAATTAATCCGTCTCTAGGACACTATAGGTTTTTAGATGAGCTTTAGAAAGATTATTGTCTCCTAAAAAAAACCTCTTACCTATTGTGCATCTCCATTGAAGGGAAAACTACATATACTGCATTTTATATACAGATTCCAGGGTTTAACCAGGTAACTGTATCTGCTTGTTAGAGATCTATACTAATCTGCCTTTCCAAACATAAATACATTGCGTTTACATTGACTGTCATGTATATAGTATATGTGAAAACCGATTCTATATTGTTTATTTCTATATTAATCATATTTTTTCCTGTGCAAACATTTTTTTAAAGGGATTTTTTGGGGGGAAGTGTTGGGGTTGTATTTTTGATAGTTAAGGGGTAAACAAATGAATAATATATTTTGGTTCGATTATACGGGTGCCAGGATACTATACATTAAGCAAGAATTTTTCTAACCTTCGTGTTTTTTCTTGATGAATCAAACCCACGTCTTCCCACTGAGTATTCCTTACAATAATACCAATCTTGTGTTTCTTATTTATAATTCAGTAATCATTCCGTTTACTGCAAGTTAAACGTGGAGGGCATCGCTAATGAGCAGTTAATTCTTGAAAAGGTGCAGGCATAAAATATAAAATTGCATTGTGTGGGCAAATCTCATTGATTTTTGTCTAATTCGGGATGACCTTCTGTGATCAAATAATTAATCAAAAATCTCCCACTGATAGCTTGCTCCTGTGAAGAATAAATTCAGAGACAACTATGCTGTGTCATGTAGACTAAATCTTACTTCACAGCATGGGGCAGCAATTTGTATAAATTGCATTAGGTCTCACCTGAATATTGATAGATTTAGATGAAAGCAGAAAGCTGCAAAATTGACTTTTTTCAAGATTAAAAAAAAAACAAAAAACTTGCAACTTTTGCTTTGCATCATTATAAAAATAAGTTATCTATACCTAGAAATTCTGGAATAAACGATGAGCTCTGTAATGTATTGGATAAAAATATTTGTAAATTTTTTTAAATATACAAGTATATACGAGTAGACAACTGAGCATTGCCTGGTTTATACGTAACATGCATTTTGTGATGGTTAAAACAAATTAATTCAAATGATTTATCTATAAAAGTTCCCATATAATTTAATTGTGACTTCTGTACAAAAATCATTTTTAAAAAGTATCTATTTTTAAACAATTCAGACAAATCAAATCTAGTCCATGATGTCAGACATAATAATGTAAACATTATTACTCCTCTCCTGCAACTGTCAAAAAATAACCCAAGTCCTCAGTGAATACTATCCTAATAACCCTCAATCCCTCTGTTACTGTGTCACTATACCCCACTCCCTCTAACATGTAAGCTCACTGAGCAGGGCCCTCAATCCCTCTGTTAATGTGTCACTATACCCCACTCCCTCTAACATGTAAATTCACTGAGCAGGCCCTCAATCCCTCTGTTACTGTGTCACTATACCCCACTCCCTCTAACATGTAAGCTCACTGAGCAGGCCCTCAATCCCTCTGTTACTGTGTTACTATATCCCACTCCCTCTAACATGTAAACTCACTGAGCCGGGCCCTCAATCCCTCTGTTACTGTGTCACTATACCCCACTCCCTCTAACATGTAAACTCACTGAGCAGGGCCCTCAATCCCTCTGTTACTGTGTCACTATACCCCACTCCCTCTAACATGTAAACTCACTGAGCAGGGCCCTCAATCCCTCTGTTACTGTCACTATACCCCACTCCCTCTAACATGTAAACTCACTGAGCAGAGCCCTCAATCCCTCTGTTACTGTGTCACTATACCCCACTCCCTCTAACATGTAAACTCACTGAGCAGGCCCTCAATCCCTCTGTTACTGTGTCACTATACCCCACTCCCCTAACATGTAAACTCACTGAGCAGGGCCTCAATCCCTCTGTTACTGTGTCACTATACCCCACTCCCTCTAACATGTAAACTCACTGAGCAGGACCCTCAATCCCTCTGTTACTGTGTCACTATACCCCACTCCCTCTAACATGTAAACTCACTGAGCAGGGCCCTCAATCCCTCTGTTACTGTGTCACTATACCCCACTCCCTCTAACATGTAAACTCACTGAGCAGGCTCTCAATCCCTCTGTTACTGTGTCACTATACCCCACTCCCTCTAACATGTAAACTCACTGAGCAGGCCCTCAATCCCTCTGTTACTGTGTCACTATACCCCACTCCCTCTAACATGTAAACTCACTGAGCAGGGCCCTCAATCCCTCTGTTACTGTGTCACTATACCCCACTCCCTCTAACATGTAAACTCACTGAGCAGGCCCTCAATCCCTCTGTTACTGTGTCACTATACCCCACTCCCTCTAACATGTAAACTCACTGAGCAGGCCCTCAATCCCTCTGTTACTGTGTCACTATACCCCACTCCCTCTAACATGTAAACTCACTGAGCAGGGCCCTCAATCCCTCTGTTACGTGTCACTATACCCCACTCCCTCTAACATGTAAACTCACTGAGCAGGACCTCAATCCCTCTGTTACTGTGTCACTATACCCCACTCCCTCTAGCATATAAACTCATTGAGCAGGGCTCTCAAGCCCTCTGTTCCTGTGCATTTATTTGTCTGGTTACAATTACGTGTCTGTTAGTCCACCCATTGTACAGCGCTATGGAATTTGCTGGCGCTATATAAATAATATAATAATAATTGATAAACAAATGAATGAATGAATGAATGAATGAGTGGACAGATGAATGAATAGACGGATAGACAGTAGAGTGGATGGCTATGTTTTGATTGTTAAATTTAGTGCCACATTGACACCTTTGTTAATTTTTACCATTTGTTAGGGTTTGTAAGTCTTCCTCTGTACAAAGTGACTCATATTATAGAATAAATAAATAAACACTATATCACGCCACATATAATAACGATTTTGATTTTTCTACACTTCAATACAACATTTCCAATACGAGATACAAATCTCCCAGTCACAGCGATTTATAAGTCTTTACTGAAGTTACTAAAGTAGAAATAAAAAGCATTTTATTTTCGTGATCACTGCCAGTTTCAGAGTAAAAGGCCAGTTAGAAGATATTTCTCAGCTTACTCAGTAATACTCGGTTGATAATTTATCTCCTTCCTCTGGTGGTTTTCATTTACAAAGAAAATCTGAAGTTCTTCATCTGGGAAGAAAAGAATTGGATGTTATAGATTCCGATTGAAGTGCAGTCAGGCATCGCAGGCCAATGTCATTGGCTTTTTCATCTAGCAATCAGCTAACATCTGTCTGCTTAGAGCGCTCTGTGTTGTCATATGCAACCTGGATTCAAATCGGAGCTTCCAATGTAGTTGAAATTGAGTTTTCTTGTAAAAAGATCTGATAATTACAAACAGCAATGGTTCCATCATTCAAGCTGTTGTGAATTCCTAGTGTAAACCATCTGTCATATTAATTAATAAATGATGCCTCTTTATACATTTATCAAGTTCTTTTACCCCTTAGGTGCATTAAAGGTTGCTAGAAATGTAGCCAATTGAATAATGTTAGATAAAAAGTCAAATAAAAAATAGCTTTAAAGGGACACTATAGTCAGCAGAACAACTACAGCTTACTGAATTTGTTCTGGTGAGTAGAATCATTACTTTCAGGCTTTTTGCTGTAAACACTGTCTTTTTAGAGAAAATGCAGTGTTTACATTACAGCTTAGTGATAACTTCACTGGCCACTCCTCAGATGGCTGTTAGAGATCCTTCCTGGGTCATGGCTGCCTAAAATGCATCCAGACATTCAGTGTCTCCTCCCTCTGCATGCAGACACTGAACTTTCCTCATAGAGATTCATTGATTCAATTCATCTCTATGAGGAGATGCCGATTGGCCAGGGCTGTGTTTGAATCATGCTGGCTCTGCCCCTGATCTTCCTCTCTGTCAGTCTCAGTCAATCCCATGGGGAAGCATTGTGATTGGTTCAGGCTACCACTTCTGATGATGTCAGCATGCAGTGGGCAGGTCTAAAGGAAACAGGGGAAAGGTAAGCAGCTGCAGACTTGAATACAAGTAAGATTTTACTATTTTTAGGGAGGCAAGATATTTATATATTTAAAGTCTACGTGTATATTGTAAATTATTTATGTAATTATTATATATGAAATTATTTATATATTAATATAAAAACAGTTAGAATAAAATTATATATATATAATTAAAAAATGATTATTCTTAAATGTTTTTATTTATTTTTAATTAATTATTATTTATTTTTTATAATAATATATTTATATAATATATATAGTTATTATACTTATTTTATATATAGATCTATATGTGTGTATTTTTATATTAATATATGTATATGTTAATAAAAAATACACTTAGTATGACGTTATATATGATATATAAAAACATATATATAGATATAATATATGTATATATATATATATATATAAATATATATATCTCATATATATACATAATTTTTTTTATTTATTAAAAAAAAATTGTACACATTTTTTTACAATTTTTTTTTCCATTTTTTTCTTCTTTAAGAGATCTTGTAATTGCCTAAGAAGATTAACCCAATCCTTTCATAGTAGTATGGACTATGGTAGTGGGTACCTCAGAATATTGGTCCTTGATGTGGTCATGATTCAGGACATATGCTTTTTTTCTTGATAAACAGTTTTTCAATTAATGTATATAATATGGATTATGGCTTTGATTTTTTTCAGATTTTTTTACATAGGATTTGTGTACATAATATGAATTTGGGTTATTTTCTATTGTAGAAGTGTATGGATTATGTATGTACATAAAATGAGTTTTTTCCTATTGTAGAAATATATGAAGGGATGCACTAATTGATTACCTTTATTCCTGTGTATAATATGAATTAAAACTCTTTAAATTTTTTGAGCATCAACTTAGTATGCGGTATCACTATTTTGACTTTGTTTATGTATATTTTGAGTTTATTGTAGGTGGTTAACCTCAATATCTGCACCCATTTACAGTTCTGAGTGCCAACATACATTTATATGTTGTTGACCTTTGTTACCATCAATGGTTTAAATTTAAACAATACATCTGCTGGTGGGTATTGAGGTTCATTCTTTTTCAAGGAATAGATTTAGGTGATCGATATTTACCAGTTGCTTTGCATGGCCTGCTCAGTACAGATTAAACACTGCATTTTCATAAATCATTTCATAAATCATTTCTTCTGTTTCAGCCATTCTGTTAAGATCCAGTTATGAATAGGCAAACTCATCTTCCATCGACTTTGGAGCCATAATCCAGTGTGTTCGCTTCCCTCAATTATTGCATGCCATCTGGATCCTGCAGAGCAGCCTCGAATGATAATCTCCCTCAATCCTGCTTCACGGATGAGATAAGGTACTTGTGTTGATGTGCCAAACTAAATTGGATATTTGTCAAACAGATATTTCTCATTTTTACCAAAAAGTCCAAAGTTTTTCTCATCTGTCCACAATCCACCATTCCAGTAGTTGGGTCTTCCAGGTTATCAATGACAAATCTGAAACGAATCTCATGTTTTCTATGGAAGTTTGTGGTATTGTCCACAGATTCACTCCACGTACACCACTCTTGTTCCGATTTTGGTAGATTAATGAATAATTAGATATTGCAAGAGATATTGCTAATATCGTGACAATTCTTTGTGACCTCATGAGCTAGGACATTTGATTTAATGTAGTTTGGTGACAAGGTAAGAAAAAATGTATCTCAGACGTTGTCCTTCTACTGTAGCTCACTGGTGTATATTATATTACATTATATGATATTATGAGGAACGCAATGTTTTATCTAAAAATAGCATGTTGTCCTTCAATGTATTAATACCCCCCACTGTCCAACTTGCAAAATACTTTCGTGTGGTTTAAATAAATATCATTAGCAGACAGCAAAAATAGTGTGTGATATTCAAAATATTACATTAACATCACTGAATTAAAAACATACTTAACAAATTACTCTTAATAACATGTCTTCCATTTCTGTAAATTGGAAAGAGTACTTGTCTTTCTTATGGCACCATATTTACTGAAATCAAGGGAGAACTGTGAATAAATGTTTAGTTATCCTGTATTTAACAAACACCCATCTACCAGATGTGAAAAATAAAAGTTACTTTTAGAAACCCACCCCTCTTTATCCTGCAACCGGGCGTCTCCATCTTAGCTCCGTCAGTCATTGTTATAAGCTCCGCCCTTATCACCTGTCAGTCAGCATCGAGAATGGATACAAGGAAGAGGAGAAATAAAATAATATGTTTCCTCCTTGTTTGCAATGTTTGCCCTGGCTTTGCCTTGTCTGAACCGGATTATGATGTCATTTGCTAAACTTTCACTATGAATTTGAATAAAAACGGAGCCTCAACAAAAGTTCAACACACGTTATCGGTGATTTTCAATGTTTTTATCAGTGGTATGAATTTCATTAGAACTGACAATTCTCCATCAAGCTCAGTTGTTGTATTGGCCAATCACTGCGTTAATCCTAATGAAAAATAGTTATTCGTTGACCATATAAACAAATTTATAATTTGCATCATGATTGTTCCCATCTAAAAATTACAAAGTCAGAAGGCATCTGAATTGCAAAGGCTGTCACAGATAAATGAAGGATATATAATGACAGCGTTTTGTCATTTCTCTTACACGACCGACAGGAGAAATTGCATTAAAATTCAGTCAGGATTTCCATGGCAGCTATTAAATGTGATTTACTGGAAGGCTGATTTTTGAACATAAAGTAACTAAGTATTTCGCCATGAACAAATCGGCTGGAAAATATTTGAATGTATTTTCCTTTGGCCAGAATTATAGTTTGTACTGGATAAATGGTGCA